CAAGCTAAAAAGGTATATTTAACCAGCCCTAGTAAAAAGTGAGATATATATTCACCATTATCATCATCTTTGGAAACTGTGTTATCCATTCGAAACCTCTCACTAAACAAAGATAAGAAACAGTTAATATGTGTACAGACACTCCCCTCCCATCCCCCCTGGGGAAAGGTCTCCTCCCAATATTCTGTAGGGGTGAGGGGTGGGAAGCRGCTGTACACAGGCTAGAAACAGTAAGCATTAACAACAGATGTATCTTTGAAGAATTTCTATAGAAGTATTGAAACTTACTCGTCTTCAAATGCTTCTACGTCTTGCCCAGTACTGCAAGAAATAAAAACAGAAATATCAATTCACCTTTTCGGCGCTAGCTGTCACGGGGTATAAATTGTTTTAGRTTGTGTTACGGTCACCAAAAAGTTTGGACATTGTTCTCGAATTTCCATACAAATGTACTKACTTTAAATGAACTATTTACTTGGTTAATGTTTAGTAAGTTCTCTAAATACAAGTAAATGATCATTTTTCTAGCATGATTAAAGCTTTTCTTACTGCTGTTAAGATAGCTAACTAAAGAAATCCACCTAAATTTTCTCTTTAAAGTCAGTGAATTTGTATGGAAATCCTAGAATGATGTCCAAACTTTTTGGTGACCGTAACACAATCCAAGCTAGTGCCGAAAAGATGAATTGGAACTGACATCATGGCAACTGCTTTCATGGCAAACCTTGTTTGTGTGTGTAATATGTTGTCGTTTTGTTATAAATCAGAACAAAATTCATTCTTTTTGTCAGCACTGTTTTCATTGCAAGCAAGAAGAAATATGGTGCAAAATGTTTTTCCAATGTCTCAACTTTTGTCTCAACCAGGGACTAGCAACAAAAACRATGGTAAGAAAAACAAATACACTTTATTACTTCCATTATTGACTATAATTTTACATTTTCTTTTTCTCTTTAGTCGTCTCACTTGCCCATCCTCCTTGTATTCTTGATGGCCTGGGAGGCATCTGAAAAATAGCAACATGTCAGTCAATCAGTCTTTTTAGGGTAATGCAAAGACTCAGACAGATCTAGTCAGACAGATCTTTAGGTTCTTTCAATTAAAATCGAGACTCTTCTAGGAGTGAGTAAATCAGGGGTTGAACACCCTAAATGAACATAATAATAATGGCAAGGATGAACCTGGTAATAATTAGAAAGTAGAAGCTTCTCCTATTTTTTGGTTTGGTTTGCTATTTAAACCCCCCTAGTTAAAAATTCTGGATCCTCCACTTTACAGTTGATTTCATAAAACYTTAGCCACTCCGTGTCTGAAGTTCGTTCGCAAGTTCACAACTTYGTAATCAATTTCACTATGAAGTTCCGACAGTTGTCAGTGATCTTTCAAACTGATAATACAGTAGCTTCTCATCAACTCAACTCATCAAACTCATAAAATCTATCATTCAAATTCAATTTTCAAAATGGATTTCATTGCCACAAAAGGAACTTGACTCTGTACGTTGTCTGGAATACAATTTTCAAAAAGCATATGGTTAAGAGAAGCAATTCCAGTAAATATTTGAATTCTAGACATAAACAAGTCACGATTGATTGAACCAATTTCACAAAAAGTTCACAAGTTCGGGACCAACTTGGAGAACTTGGTAACTAACTTCAGAATTAAAGCGACCGAAGCTTTGTGAAACTAACTGTAAGTGATTGTGGAAATCAGGAAAACTAATGCCAATGGCGTGCACGTATCAATCAAGCCCTACTTCCCAAGAAATGCTAAGAAAAGACTCATGATAAATACTACAGTAGCTCTGTTCTTGTACAACCCCCAAGTCCTAAACCTCCCAGTTTCACATCAAGAAAATACTCACGTCATCTGGCGGTGTGGGACCTGAACCACTCCCAGACACAAGGCTGTCCAATAGTTCATCATCATCAAGATTAGCTGTATTGGTTCCTGCTCTTCTTCCCTGGCGTATCTCCTAAACAGAAACAAGAACAGTCAATCTCAGGTATGTAAATCTAGGGAACTTGTGCACGAGAACCACAACGGAGATGGATTCTGGTCAGATGGCTTAAACTGGAGGTGAAATAACACAGATTGTCAACATTAAACTCGTAGAAAATTTTAATCCACCATGAGGCATACCTTGTCTCTTTTTTTTTGCTTGGGGGCTGGGTACACACAGCAGGTAACCCAGATCAGAAAAACAACAACAAATCTATAAAAACGTCTGCTTATCTAACAATATAGTGCTCTTTTTTAGTCCCTTCGTGGGCAGAACTTCCTAAGGTGTTGACAGACCACAGTAAAAGGAGTGTGGTTCATAAAATGAGTGAGCGGTAAGCTTTATAAAACAACAGCTCATAGTTTGCTTATTCTAGCAGTTAGATATAGGGCAAATAGGAAAGGTTGTTCTTCCAAAGACAGATAAACAGACATTGCAGACCAACCAGAGTAGTGGAAAGAGGTAAAAAGCGGGGGAAAGAAATAATGAGAGAGAGTGAGATTCTTAAAGGAAAAAAGAGATTTAAGAAGCTAGGAATGGAAAATGAAAAAGCTTAGTATAATAAAACCATGAGGCAAATAAAGAATGTTGCTTTTTGTGTTCCATACATATCCACTGGGTAATACATTTACTAGCAAAGAATATGCTGTTGGTAGATTGTCAAGCAATAGCACAACTTTAACTTATCAACAACCTGCTGTCACCCTACTGAAATCTTCTGGATATTACACTGGTCTTTGAACTTTCATTCCCAAGGGAGTGAAATAAGTCAAGAGTGGATGCTGAACAAAGAGAGTTCAGGTGAAATCATGTTAGGAAATGACCTCCAAAGGAGTAAATCATAGCATAATATTGTACCCCTGCCAAGAAGTTTTGTGCATTGATCTCCAATTGCTCTTCAAAGTCAGGGGACAAGTCGTCATCTGATGGATGTTGCTAAGATAGAATAAGAAAAAAGGAAGAGAGAAAGACAGGTATTTGTTTATTGGTTATTACTGATAAAATAGACATTAATATTAGAATGGGTACATTTAAAGTAGGAACAATATTGTATATGCAAAATATGTGTCATATTTGCTGTACATGTAATACTATATGTCAAACTCAAGACAATAGAAATTCAAAAAAAAAAAAAAAANAAAAAAAAAAAAAAAATGGACATAAAGAAGTGAAGAATGAGAAAAAAAAAAAAGTTGGCTGACTATAATAACAAAGACAGCCAAGAAAGGAAAAAAGTACTGTGCCCAAAGCAGTTGATTTGGAGAGAGAGTAAGAGCCCAGCAAGAGAATAAAATTAAGGAAGTTTACAAGACTTTGTAAATATAAAAGCTGGAGAGCTGTGTTTGTTCCAAGAGAACTGCACATTCTGTTTTTTAATGATATTGAAAAGGGGTTTAACACAATTTATTTATTGTGAGCCAAAAAAACTCTTTAAATTTTAAATTAATTTTTGTTGTACGTTATATTTACCAATTTGATTCTACATGTACATGTATGCTCACTCAAATTCAACCAAAGGTTTAGGAATAATTGTTCATGGATTTTTTTATAGACTTTTAATAAACTCACAGATTGTGTATCACAAGTCATGCAGGATTTGTAACAGTCAACTAGTTTGTATTTATTATATAGTTAAGATAGTACGCACACGCTCTCATTGGTTGAAAACTGTGCTATATTAGTAAACAGAGCACAGTGCTGACGCCATCCATGCGCACAAAGTGCTGCTAGATCCTGCAACCATCTTTCTTTTTGCATAAATAAATTTAATACTGAAAAAAATTAGTAACTATATAATAAAACGAATAAAAAAGCTTTTTTCGTGCTCCATTCAGTAATAAAGCACTTAGGAAGCACCTTAAGCATTCAAGAAGTGAGTCCTTACACTTCTTTCATGCTTACGCCATTTCCTGCATGCTTTATTACTGAACGGAGCACAGAAAAAGCTATTTTATTCGTTAGATAGAATGCAGTTTTTAAATTTTTAAAATTATTTCAACAATAACTGTTTTTTATTACCTCTGACATTTTCTTTTCTTTAGTTGTTGCTTGTTGTGTTATCTCTGGTTTTTTAACTTTATTCTGGTTATCTGATCGTAGTTTAATTTTACTCAGAATGTTTGTCCATTCAACCAATTGTTGATCACCAGTTATTTTCCTGTTATATCCGTAATTTTTGAGATCAAATGATTATGTTAGTCCCATTAAAATAAGATGTCTCTAAACACGTTATCATTATACGTTATATATTTATAAGCTAGGAAAGTGAGCTATAGAGTAATTTATTATTAGTCTATAGCTGAAAGGGTAACTCTGAAAAGGAATCTGAGTCCTTGATAGGAATCAAACTTGTGACCTTCCAGGTGCTGGTTGGAAAATAGAGCATGCGACCAGCATCCACAAGGTCATGGGTTGATACCTATCAGGGACTCAGATTTTTTCAGAGTCATCCTTTTATCTAGTGACCAATGATAAATTATTCTAAACACATTCTTATGGCTTGCATTACATTTAAAATATATATTTCAGTGGTTCATGACACTTGTAGGTTTATTAAAAATGCATTTAGAGATTTTGAACCTCTGCTTTCCCTCTGGGGAGGGATGCCGTTCATATCCTTAGCAACCAGATCACATGAGAAAACCAAACATACAAGTTTGAATGCAGTTATTTCTTGGAATATATTCAATTCATATTTTTATTGTTAACCATTGATTATCTAAAACATTTAATATGATTTTAAAACACAGAATGAAAATTTAGATCATTTTAGCCTGGTAGAATAAAGCCTGCATAAAGATACCTGTGGCGCAGTACAATCAGTCTAGTTAGCACTCTTTCACATTGGCCTAAAGGACCTTTGAGTGTCAAACAATACGGAACAAATTTATTGTGTTACTGCCTCGTTTGACTGTTTTATGAATCCAATAGTTACTTTCCGCTGATGTGAATGAGTGGTCTAGATTCATATAAAAAGCCTCGGCTATGATTCTCATTCCCTTGGTCTTACTAAATGTAATTTATACCATCTGGGTTCGAGATTTAAGTATAAAATGATACGATCTGAATATCAAAGAAAGAGAATAGTGTATTTAAAAGTATTTTATCTAGTCTTTTCTTGATTATTTGGGGTTATTTTCGCTGTTTTCAGTGAGAAGTTTTGTTGCTACGCAGCAGAAATACTGCCAAAAAATATACTAAGCTCGACTAAATAGCATAAATACTAACTTAGTAATTCGGAATACATACCCTCTTAGCGGGAAAGTCATCCATATATGATAAATTGTAGGTAAAAACGTCAAGAAATCGGAAGAAAAGCAAAGAAGAAATCGGAGTAAACAACCAGGTCGTTACTTCATGTATGACCACATGAAATGGCACTATCTTGGGGTTGTGTGCTATGGTAGTGTTGCAACGTTTCGGTGTCGGCTTTAGTTATCCGTTTAGGTGCAGCACATGTGGTTGGTGTAATACCCGTAGTACCCGTGGTACCTGTAGTACCTGTAGTTTCTGTAGTAGGTGTAGTAGGTGTAGTATCCGTAGTACCTGTAGTACCTGTAGTAGGTGTAGTACCTGTAGTATCCGTAGTACC